ACCCCAAAACTCCCCGGGGTTGTTGGGGTACTCTGTGATCACAGATCCATTGGGCCAGCACTGGGACATGATCTCTTGGTCATTCACAGGTCTTGCTGGCATCTGTTTACTTGAGCTGAAACTTTCTTTTAATTAAAGAAGTACGCGTTAAGGTGAACCACACCAGGCCTTTTGCTGGGGTGAAGCGTCTGCACCAGGGTTGTAGCAGTGCAGTGGTCACAGGAGGCTCCCAAGAGAGCCAGGCCGGTGACAGAGTCCTTCACTTTTTCTTCTTGGAACGACTGTTTCATGGTCTTGAAGCTGGCATTCTTTATATGTGGAATTTAAAGGGGTTTGATGCCAAATTTGATACACAAACTCATTTTCAGTCTTGGCGTTACAGTATCTGGTGTCCTCTCAGTATTCCCCAAAACTTCTGGAGCAGGATTACAGCCATATTTTGGCATTCAGTGTAGTAAAGGACATGGCAACATGAACTATCAGAGGTTGGGTTTATCAGACAAAACCCCAATGTCTTCCTAGCATGATCCTAACACAGCATTACACTTCTTATTAATTATGGAATGAAAATAGTGTAAATGTGGATGATCTGCTTCCATTTCATAGGCATGAACTGATCCGCAGGCCTGTATTAGTCTTAAGAAAGCCAAGATCCCTCTGCATATATTCACATTTATTTAGGCAAAAGTCCAAATGGAACTGTTGTAGAAATAATCAGGAAGGGTTACCTAACGCAAAAGAGAAAATCAGGGAGTCATCTATTTGCATAATAAATAGGAGTTTGGGAGGGTCCTCATGTTCCCCAAACACCAAGTATTGTTACCCTGGACAAGTGTTCACAGCTTGGGGCGTGTCTGGAAAATGCGAGTTCAGAGAAGTGATTTCACAGCAGCTTTCTCTTTCCTCTCAACACTTTTTGTAGAGATCGCCTTCCCAGAAGCACTGCTTTGGCACAAATGAAGGTGAAGGCAGAAGGAGCTGTCTCTGCTGCCCTTGCCTGCTGTAAGAGGAGAGACTGGTGCTGATACAGCTACAATGGGAAGCTTTTCCATCATTGCAGCCTGTGTCAGTAATGGGCAGTTTGTGAGCAGGTTCAGGCTATTCTGGAAAAAGTACTTTTTTGCAGTAATGCACTGCAGGAAAGATCAGTTTGGACTTAATATTGAATGTGTTTCTACCCCCGTATGTCATTGCCCATCTTGCAAGAATCGCCAGTGTTGGCTGGGATGTCGGTGCTTGCGAAGCTGCCTTTACGTCCCCCTGACCCGAGGTAAACTCAATCATGGCATTAACACACAGATACTGATGTAGCTATGAATGTAGCTGCTGTGGAGGGAGGAACCAGCGGTGTAACTGGATCTGCCGAGCTGCCAGGCTGCTGCAGTCCTTGGCACGACGACAGCAAAGGGCCAGCGATGCGGTGAAGGACGCCGACGTTCGGTGCCCTGTCCTTGGGTCCCGTGCAGCTTTTTGAGTTTCAATCAGGAATTATTCCTACTTGCAGTTGTTCTGGCAGTTCATAACGTCTTGAATCCGTGTGTTCCTAATGAGCCTTACCAAGTAAGATGCTTATTAACTGCCCAAAGCAGCTCTCAAAATAAGCCAAAAATAGCACAGTGACTGGTTACTCTATCACTGCGCTACAGATCTGATTAGGATAGAGCGGAGTGCCTAAATTTTGCAACATGAGCAGCGTATGAAGTCTTCCAGGAATGCTAGTGTGAAATCTGGTGCGTTTTGTTTTGGTTTTAATGAAGCTTATTTTTTGTTAAAGAAAATATTTATATATATGTATGTATGTATATTTGGGGTAGGGTTGTTTGGTTTTTGGTGAAAACTTACTAGTAATATGTGATCGTTGCAAGTCACTTCCATTCACAAGGGACATCTGGTTGATTAGGTAATTTCTTACTCTGCTGTTAGTGATGAGGTATCCGACCTTTCATCCTCATCTTGTCTTAGTGTGTGAGGAACTGCATTGATTTGCAGAAATGTCAGACGTTCTGACTTGGAAAAATGCATTGAAACTTGTTTTGGGAGACTGGCGGTGGTACAGCTCTTTTAACGTTTTTGCATATGGGTTTTCAGTATCTTCACACTCGAGTTATTTGTGTTGTGGGTATGTTATTGCGCTGCCGCTAAAAATCAAAACAAAAACTGAAAAATGATGCTCAACATGTGCAGAAATAATGAAAGCAGCTGCTTTTTCTTGCTGCGATATAGAATTAAGATGAAAACGTTGTATACGAAGCAAGATTTTTGTGTGAGACTTTAAATGTGCGAGGTCTGTGGAAGTAGAGTTGCAAACTTAAAGAAGATCTGAAAAGCAGTGAGCGTTGAAAATAGTGGTGAAAGAACAGATTGTACCAATACTGCCCGCCTTGTCCCTAAATAAAAGCTTTAATTCGCTTTAATAAGCAGTGTTTGCATAATCAGTGTTTAAAAGGCTTTTTTAGAGGTTTCTGTAAGCAAAATGTATTTCCTGTGAGGGGAGAGAGAAGTTCCTGGGAAGGTGATAAAGTGTTTGTGAATGCTGAATTAACACTGAGTTGGGTTCCAAAGGTGTGTTGTTAATGTCCTGTGTAAATAAATATATATATATAAAAATATATATATGCACACACACAAGTGGGCTTGGGGTGGTAGTAGTTGAGGAGCAAATGGTCCATGTCTTTACCAGAATGTCAAAAAATGACGTTTTAATCAGCTCCTGGAGGGTTGATGTGAGGCCGATGTGCTGGGTGCTGTCAGGCTGTTCCCAAGGGTGAAGGTGAAGGGTAAGGCTTGCCAGGAGGAGCTTTGAATATTACGGTGGTGTTTGTTGTTCATAAGTGCAGTTGCTTCTGTGGCAGTAGCATTTTTACCTCTCTTCACAGAATCCCAGACCGTTAGGGATTGGAAGGGACCTCCAAAGCTCATCCAGTCCAATCCCCCTGCCGGAGCAGGAACACCCAGATGAGGTTACACAGGAAGGCGTCCAGGCGGGTTTTGAATGTCTGCAGAGAAGGAGACTCCACAACCTCTCTGGGCAGCCTGGGCCAGGGCTCTGTCACCCTCACTGAGAAGAAGTTTCTTCTCCAATTGAAGTGGAACCTCCTGTGTTCCAGTTTGTGTCCGACTCTTGGTGTGTCTTCCAAAGGGAGAACTGCTGTTAAATGTAGTGGTGTAAATGAAAGAGAAAAAACGGAGTCCATTACTATATAGTAAAATTTCTTGTGTGTGGTTCTCAGCTATTTATAACAGACAGTCACTTATGCACAGCGGGATTTTCTGCCAGTCACCGGGTCACACAAACGTTGTTGTGACAGGAATAATAGTTCTAGCATATTGGTGAGGCATAGTGCCTTGCTTAGTCTTGGGAGAGAAATGAAAACCCTGTAGGGATGCATTTTGGTGGGAGTTTGAAGTAGCTCATCTTGGTAGCAAAAATGTTTATCACTGGTTTAGGTCACTGATTTTCTGCTTGTTTTAATGCTCGACTCTCTCTCAGTAACAGTTCTCTTCTTTCAGGGCCATTCTCTGGACTGATCTAGAAACCTTGCTTCTTCGAGCCCTAAATCATAGCCTGCTGTCTTGGCTTTAATACCCAAAATACAATACCTGTAAGCTGACTGATGTTGTGCATATGCACTGAGATGTGGACCTTGTGTTCAAAAGCCACTTTTCCTTCCTGATGGTATCCATGTGGTACCATCACATTTCACCGGGCACCCACGGGTTGGCTCGGACACCAGGGGACAATTTTACAGAACATTTACATAGCAAACAGAGGAAGAAATGACCACAAGTTGCTCCTGCACAGCAGTGCTCTATGGAGATCCTCCAGGCCTTGTTAATTCTTCACGCAATGGGGCACTGAGGGAGTCTGCAGATGGCCTGCTTTGATTTTTTGGAGGTATAAATGATCTCTTTCTTAAGGTGGTGTTTGATAGGGCTGAATATGGTATACCATATAATACCATATATATATATGATAGGGTTTGATATAGTAATGGTTTGCTGCTGGTGTGAGATGGGGGCAGTATTAGGGGAAAAAGGCTGATGGGACTGGGGTGTGACGTGGGAAAGGGCAGCAGTGGTTGTATAACGAACACATCTCATTTCTGCAGCACGTTTAAGGCACTGATAGCGTTGAACAGATAATGCCTAATGATGAAATAGTGGTTTTATCTTCAAATATTACTGAAAATCGAGGGAAATTGTGTCTGAACTTCGGGCAGATTCTGCAGCGTAGTTGTGCTCTCTCATTAGAGCATGAGTCAGGTATCCTCCTTGTTTACTCTGGCCAGCTTCCCAAAACTACGGCGTGTTACGTTGAGTAACTCCACGAGCTTGTGCTGGGAGATCGTGGGCCACCGGTGGGACAGCATTGCTGCTGCTCCGTGCCAATACCTGCTTGCCTAATGGTCCTCCTATCTGTTCTTGTCTAGAAAACATTAATGGCTGCGGTAGTGCTAAGTGCCAGCTTGGAAACAGATGTTTGGGGTTTGAAATTTAGTCAACTATCGCATTTCTACTCAAAACAAACAATCCTTGTGCTACATGAGTGGAAATTACCTTTAAAACAGAACGGAAAGGCACCTCGGGAAACCATTCAGTCCTCCCTGGCTCTCAGATGGGTTCAGCTTTACCAAAGTCATTACTGGCGGCTTTTTTTAATGACAAGGTAGGCAGATATCTGGTGACAAAGGAGTTAGAGGCTGTTGTGGCAGTCTGTTTTGGTGATTAGCTGTCCAAACACGCATAATATTTTTCCAATATTTAATCTAAGCTATCCTGCTGTAGTTTAAGATCTTGCTAATAGTAATTTTTACAATAAACTGCTTTTCATGTAGAGTTTTTCCTGTTACTTCAGCTGCTTCTTGGGGTGATTTTTACAGTTATGTCCTATAATCTGTACTAAGATAGTACAGTTAAATGACTTTGTGTTTTCTAATATTTTAGATTTGATACAAAACTTCAAAAATGGTAAAACTATTTTTTTTCACCTTGACAAACAGGTTGAATCATTTATTTTGGACCAAGAAGATCTTGATAACCCAGTACTTAAAACCACGTCGGAGTTATTCTTATCGAGCGCTGCAGAAGGTGCGGACTTGAGAACTGTGGATCCAGAAACACAAGCAAGACTCGAAGCCTTACTGGAGGCAGCAGGTACTTGCTTTGTATAGTTGGTTTTTCTCTTTCTCTCCATACAAAGTCAGAAAAGTTAATTTGAATTAAGTGGTATTTCATTGCCCAGATGAGATTTCATGTGTTACCACAGGAAGGATTAAAGGGCAGAGAATGTAGGAAAATAGATTGGCTGAAATAATGGGGTTTTTTTTCCTGCTGCCTTGGTCAATATATAATTATTAATTAATTTTTCTAGAAATTTACAGGTGAAATACTTAATTCTCTGTTTTGACTTTCACAAAACTACTTTTCCATTCTGTTGTTCTGAGATGCGGCTGTTGGAAAACACATAGGACTAGATGGACAATGTGCCACCACACTTGTGACTCTCCTAGTGAAAGCTTGACTGATTTAATTCTTTCCAAGGTTTGTGACTCGGGTGTTTGCAATGGATTTAAAATCCAAGGACAGGAAAACCCTGCTTTGAAACAAATCCCATTTGATCGTTGTGGGTGCATGCTCAGCCTAGTAGAAGTGTGCTGAAATTGGGGCTTTTGGACTTCAGCTCTCAGCACACAAATAAATAGCCTTTATTTGCAGGTGTTTAGGTGTATGCTCCTAATGGAGAAGGAAGCAAAGGGGGCAAGGGACATGGGCTTTGGGCTCTCTTTGCATATTGTGTTTGGCAAAAAACCCAGTTTGCAACACAGCATAGCGTTTGGCAACGAAAAGTTGGAGCAGCCTAATTAAAGGTGGTCCCCTAAAATGATTCTAACCTGATATAACCCTTGGGAACTAAACTTTGCTTTGCTTTGCAGGCAAGATAGACTATTGCTGGGATAGTCCAGATACGAAGAGAATTTGAATAATCTGATCCCTTTTTATGCATTATTAAAAATGAAAATCCGTTGTAGTTTCTCTCATGTACCCGATGACTGCTGTGTCCTAAAACTTATTGGTAGCTTTGTAAATTGTCAGTGGAGATGTCTGATGGTTAATATTACAAGGGCAGTCCATTTCTCACAGCTTACATCTAAAGCTGCAGTCTTCAAAATGATTTCACGGTATTTAACAAATCTGGGAGGTAGCATTGCTTTTTGTAATGCCTGTGAGATCGCTTGCTTTAGATTTGGAAGCAGAAGTTGGCCGCTTGTCCCCAGGATTAGATGGTGTGGTTTCAGTCTGAGGTTTCCATCCTTTGATTCCCCGAGTGCTTGGAGTAGGGTTGTAGAAAATGGGCAGAACAGAAGGAATCTGGGAAAAAAAGAGCAGATCAAAAAAAGAGCGCTTTTGTTTGGGAGCTCCATCTCCCTCTCTAAAAAGACCGGACAAAATTAATGCCACTTGATGAATGTGTGAGATGAAAAGACTGAGAACACTCTTGAGAAAGTCCTCTGGTTAAGCAGTACTTGTCTTTCCCGTTGAGAATTTGAACACTACAAATATCATTAGGGTGCCTTAAAGGAGGCACTGAGAATCTGGTGGTTTATTAATAAAAGCCATGATTTAAAAGCGACTTAAAAAGCAGCTGGTGTTGCTGGGAGATACTCTAATGTCTTCATGGGGTTTCTGGGGCTGGTTTGGCTGAAAATACCCTTTCTAACCTGAAGTGAGCTTCTAGGTTTCCATCATGGCAACAGAGTGGCCTTGTGTTGGGGCTTGATTGTTTTGCAGGTTGGCAAAAGCGAGTCTCCTGTTATTTTAGTCACGTTTGAGTTCCCAGAAAACTATTGCTCGGAGAAGTGGTTTAACTACGGCCTTGCCTGATGTGGTTTCTAGGGTAGCTTGGGCTTCGCTGTCATGATCCCTTCTCCTGTGGGAAGCTTAATCCTAACTTACAACCTCCTGGAAAATGGGTCTTGCTTTTAGTGTCTTGGGGTTTCTCACACGCAGGGTTGGTGGCTGTGTCATTAGGATCCTAATGAGTGTGACTTGCAAAACTAGTTTTGCTCATTCTCCATGAATCCTTTAATGCTCCCATCTCACATGGATGTGCTGTTTATTAATTCTGGAAGGTAAGTTCTAACAACTGCAGCCAGATGGGATGTTCTTCTTCAGATCACTTAAGCAGAAGTGGTTTTCAGCCACTGCATTCTCTAAGATTTATGGGAGCGTTGCTTTGCTTTTAAGTAGCTGTCTTGATCTGAGAGCTGATTAGGCCTGCATATGCAGGTGTAGAGGCCAGGGGTTAGTTGAACTGCTTAAAAACATTTCTTTACATTGCGTTGGTGCATTTTAAGAGTGCTGGATATATTTTTTGCAGTTCAGCTTGTTTATGCTGTTTTCAAGAAGATTGATGTTGTGGTTTTGGATGCTGAGGGTGACAGCTTTAAGTATTCTTCCTTCTGCAATCTGTTGAAGCAAAGCACAGCCCCTTTGGTAATAAACAACTGCCAGCGGTTGTATTATTTCACAAAAAAACTAGCTTTACGTTCTGAAGATGAAGAGACTTCACTGTTCTGTGAAGATCATAAATATGAGGTGTTTTCATCATTAGAAATTGAAGATAGATGAAAACAATTGAATCCTGTTCTTTGGGAAGTTCTCTGACAGTGGATTCATGTTCTGCGCTAGAAATGTTCAGCCCCACTGTTAAGAAATCAGCAGTACCCTAATTAGAATAATATTCCAGCTCTGAAGAGTCATGGTTCTTTTGTGGACGTTCAGAAAGGTTGATTACTAAATTGCCTTTTGGAGGACAGTAGGTGGCCACTGGAGGAAGAGAGCTCTTGGCTGTGGGAATGGATGGTTGCAGCGTTCAGAGCTCTCGCTCTTGGCAGGTTCCTCCATGGGTCCCTCAAGACGTGTTCCTAAAAGGGCAAACTCACCTCTACAGAGCTGGGGGAAGCTTGACAGGTTAAAGCCGTTTCATTTTCTGGTTCTGCGTTTTATAGGCATCAGGAAGGGAGAATGATCTGCTCCTGTGCAGTCCTTTCTGGAGCGCGGGTTGTTGCTTAAAGCGGACAGAGAAAGGCGCTGGTTGAAGCGTGTGGTCAAATACAAATCCCACCCAAAATGTGGAATTCCACAGAAGGTGTAAAATGTCAAAATGTTCTCATCTCTGCAGTTAAAACAGTTTATGGTGTTTCATCACGGTTTTGTGGAGTTTTCTAGGAAGTGACACAGAATGGTACAGAACTGATTTTTACTTTGAAGAAATAGCTTGGGTGCCCATATCCTGCCATAAGGACCAGCAGATCTTCTGAGCACTTTCCTTCTCAATCTGAATGCTGAAGCACTTTGACAATAAAGCATCAAAAATAGATGCAGAAGAAATTGGTGAAGAAGCTCTTTGCCTAGCACTGGAGCACTTGGTATTTCTGTTGAGTACCTGCACAGGGAGGAGTTGTGTTAGCAATGAGTTCTTCAAAGTCCTACTCTTGTTTGTGAGGAAAACCAGGATATTTTGGAGAGGAGTCATGTTCTACCAAAGCTTTGTGTAACGGAGCAGATGTGAGTAGTAGATCCTTATGTTCAAACAGGGAGCAGGGTTATATACATCCTTCTGCTGAAAAACAGGATTAAAGGTGGCTGGAGACCCTCGTGTAGACGGTTTGGTGTATTTGAGACTTTGGGGGTTTAAATGCAGTGTAAATGGTGAAAGAGACATCTAGGTTTCGTACCAAGTGTCTGCTAATACCTGGTGCATCTCAGGAGTTGAGGCATCAGGGCTTGGTACTGCTCTTTGGGAAGCTGCTGGGATGGATGGGGGGGGACGTGGGCTGCGTGTTCTGGGACTGGGGGAGGCAAAAAGTGGAAGTAATCGCCTACTTAGTGGAAACAGAGAGCACAGGTCAAAATCTGAATGGGCCCAGATAAAATCTGCCTGCTTTAGGATAGACTGAAAGGATAGAGTGAGATTCAGCAGTTGTAAAATTGAATGCTTTCCAGCGTGGGTACGGATCTCTAGATTTAACCACTTGCCAAGCTGTCGACCAAACCTGCTTCATTTTCTTTTGTGAGGTGACCAAACCCATTCATTATTCACTAACAGCGAGAGTTGGGTTTTTTGTATTAATTAAAGTAATTTATATTTGCTTCCCCCAACATTAGAAGGCTTGAATGTGACAGATAGCTCTGTGATCCTGCAGTCCCAGCAGTGCGCTGTGGTCAAAGAAGAGTCTGACAGATGCACGGTTTGCTTTCCTCCTGCACCGCAGAGACCCCTTGGAAAGCGTCAGACTGGGCCAAATAAATTCTTTGATCGTTGTTCATAATCAATAAAATTCATGTGTGGACCAGCTGTTCCTTTTCTGAGGGCTGATGAGTAACTTAGGGCGTTATTTAAGTGGAGGTGGGCATCTGATCCATTAGCAACTTCACTAGTGGAGGGTTATCCACGCTCCACTTCCAACTGCAGAGGATGGACAATTGGTGTTTGTCAGTTTAACGGCTGCACCTCCGTGCTGGTGGGATGTGACAAATACGTTTCTAGATCTGTATCTGTGCTCTGGAATAAAAAAGAAAAATAAAATCTTTATTGGGGGGAGTCTGAGCGGGGATTGCGGGAATTTGAGCAAAGATGAAACTTCATTTATTGTGCAGTGTAGCAGTATCGTCTTTGAAGTGTGTTTAGCTGCCTTCAACGTGGCAAAAGTCTTCTTTTTAGTCCAACTATTTTGACTTTTTTAACCAAGAAAGGCTTTTCACCTTAACTTGATCTGGTCTGAAATACTCAGTGTTACAGGGATGCACATATAGGTAAAGCAAGAGAAACAGTTTTCATTAAGAAAGTTCAAATAGGCTTCATTCTGGGCATTTCTTTAGAGATTAAAGCTGTACTGCCACTAAAACCACCACTGTTGTTAACTAGAAAACATCCTGGCACATTGCAGTCAGTGATTTGCTCATTTTCTTTCTTCACCGTCTAAAGATTCAGAGTGGGAAGGCATATATGGTATGTGAAACGTGCAGATGTGTTGTGCTTTTGAGTAAGTTGGATAAACTAAATTTTGTGCATGTAATTGAATTATTAATATTAGATTTCTCTGAGGTTTTGCATGATTTTAAGACTTTTTTTCTAATCTAGTAGGCTTTTA